CTGATGAGTGGTGCTCAGCTCAGAGCACGTGGCATAGACCCAGAGCCCGTGGAAAGCAGAAGAGCAATGTCAGAACACGAGAAACCCTTGCAGGAATATATATATGTCATTAGGCAAGAATTTTGGAAGGATATCTTAGCTGATAGTTTTTATTTACACTATTGAAAAATAGAAATAGTTCTCATGACTTCTAAAGTAGCAATTTATGGAAAATAATGTCTCCGGAGCTGATTAAAATTTTATATTAAACTACTTCGGTGTTGGAAAATATATAAGACAAAAAAAACCAGAAGAGCTAATTGACTTGGGCAATTTAATTAATTAAGTCTCCTGTACCTTAATTTCTTCAATAAAATGGGAATTAAAATATATATCAATAAGATGATATAGATGCTTCAAGTTGGTAATTCTATAAGATGTCAACAGATGCTGGTTAGTATTAATATCTTTTCTCCTAGACTACGAACTTTTTCTCTTTTTTGAGGGGGAAGGTGTTTCATTCATCGTTGTCATGGAGTTTCAACATCTGTCCCACAGTAGACTTGCAATACATGTTCCAAGCTAATGGCTGGGCTGTCTGCATTGGTAGATTTTAGCTCTAGGATTGCAGCCTTTGAAATTTCCATGATACTATTTTAGTCTGCATGGCATTGTGATGGAGACTGTCAGCCAAGACTAATGAGAGTAAGTTGAAGAAATTTTATTAACTTTTAAACAAGCTCCCAGCCTTTCTAGAGAGCCACTGGCGATGAGTCATCGTGCTATTTCTGTATGGCTATCAAGGCTGAGTTCAGAATAGAAGCCACGGTTGTGACAAGGCTCTTTTATATAACGTTTTATATAATGCCAAAATGATATTTCAATTCATATTTTTACTCCAGAAAAAAAATAATTCTAATGGAAAGAGCAAAAGAAGCTTTGAGAAAATGTTAATTCTGGAAAATAACTGCATATTTTCATAAAGTAACAAATATAATTTTTAACAATATGCTGTAGAAGAAAGCTTAAAATTAGGAGTTAGCAGACTCACACTGTAGTCTTTAGTAACTAACTACCATCATTGGCTTAGACAAATTTTTATCCTGTTAGAAGCTCAATTTCCTCACGAGGAATATTTTGTAACTAGGTATTTTTCAGTAACCTTCACAGCACTGTAGGTATGGACACTGAGAAAAGTTCTCATTGCATTCTGTGACTCTATTGGATATTCAGGACAATCCGTTTTGTCCAGAGCAATTTTCAGGCCTCGAGCACAAACACGTATTCTAAGGTTATGCCTTCTAACACTTTGTTTTTACTTACCATCAATGCAAAAATTCCATCTGTATATTGAGAGGCACTGTTTTTTAGGGTTTCTAAGAATTTCGAACATCACCGCAAATTGACTCTTTTAGGGATATCATAGGCAAAAATGATTTCTTCATGTGTTCTGTATCTCAGATTGGTGGCATCATTTAGCAGTCACATAAACCAGACTGAATTTATATTCGTGGATATATTTTCACTAAAGCTATAAAAATGCCCTTTTCCTTTTGTACAGACCTTAGGAATCAAGAGGCTGTTCTTGTAATTTTATCATGTCACATGCTGGGCTCTAGAGTGACAGGCTCTGGAACAATGGGTTTTATTTTAGGATTTAAGCTAAAATTCACTTTTTTAAAAAAAAAATCCTTGAAACATAGAACATAATATAAAATTACTCAGAAACAAATTTAAAGTGTCTGATGCCACCCAGGTTTACTCAGTGATGATGGTAAGAAAATCGTAGTTAGAATGATTTTGAGACTAGCGCTGGGAGAAACACCTCTGCATGCTAGCTGACTCACCTGGCTCATGCCCAAACTATAGGCTCAAAATAATGTCAGTTCCCACCTTAGCTTGGGTGCTGTGTCTTGCTGCAACAGCTGTAAGTGGAGCTCAAGAGAGTAACATATAGATAATTAGCACACTTGTAAAGTTACGCTTGTGACAAGCTGTCTTCTCTTTTAAATATAGCTTCTTCACACAGTGGATGGCTTTGTAATGAGCTTAGCACACATTTTAGAAGTAAAATTGCTTAGTGGAATAAAGCACTCATGAAAAGGCCATTATTGTTAATTAGAAAAAAAATTTTTTACCTTCCACCTTTTCCCCCCGGTTACCCCCAGTTGCCTTTCCTTAGTTTTCCAAGGCAGGAAAATAATTAGATAAGAAATACTTTTCCCTCTCATTCTTGCCTAAACCCAGGTGATTACATGTAACAGGTACCTATTAACATATGCTTAACTCCTGGTTGACAGTTCTCTGCCATTCAAGAAAACATTTTTGAACATAAGTTTCTATGTTGTTATTGTAGAGATAACCTTACATTTGCAACAGTTAATTTTGGCTTTCGCTTATTTTGCTCATTTATACCACATACATAGAATGGTAAATATAAAATAAATAAGCAGATTAAGGCGTAATATAAGAAAAGAATCATGTACCTACTACCCAGTGCACAAATTTGTCATTTTCCAGTAACATGGATGGTGTTTCCTTATGTTCACATCAGCTTACCACCCCCACAAGTAATCACTATACTGACGCTTTTTATACATTTTTAAACTCTATTTTAGATGTATTGTGTATATATCTGTTAACAATATCTAGTATTTCTCTCTCTAAACTTTATACAAATGGAATTATACTTTAATACATTAATATATACATTAATGTTTGCCTTTTTATTTGCTCTATATTATATTTGTTAGAGTCCTTTATGTTATATAATGTAACTGTAGTTTATTCATTTTTATTATTGATAAAAATGATGATGGCCCAGGCATGGTGGCTCATGGCTGTAATCCTAGCACTCTGGGAGGCTGAGGTGGGTGGATTGTTTGAGCTCAGGAGTTTGAGACCAGCCTGAGCAAGAGCGAGACCTTGTCTTTATCAAAAATAGAAAGAAGTTAATTGGATAGCTAAAATATATATATATATAAAATTAGCCGAGCATGGTGGCGCATGCCTGTAGTCCCAGCTACTTGGGAGGCTGAGGCACGAGGATCGCTTGAGCCCAGGAGTTTGAGGTTGCTGTGAGCTAGGCTGACACCACGGCACTCTAGTCCAGGTAACAGAGTGAGACTCTGTTTCAAAAAAAAAAAAAAGATGATGATATTACTTTAGTATATATTCACTATATATTGTTATGAAATATAATAATATCAGTAAGGTCTTCTTAGTGATGGACCTCAGATACGAATCTATGTAGTCTGGATCCAAGTGAAGTATTTTTAGTCATTATACACATCATTATATATAATAATGCTGCAATGTTTATTCTACAAATATCCTAGTACAGATATAGAAAAATTTACTTAAGGTATAAATTTATGACTGAAATTGACATATTGTAGGATATGTGAGAATATGAATTTACTGGATGCTTTTAAACATGTTACAAAATGGTGATAACAATTTATAAGTCACAAACACATATGAGTATTCCTATTGCTCCATATTCTGGCCAAATTAGACATTTAAATTTATTTCAATCTTATGTGTATATAGTAGATGTTAATTTGTATTTTTACTAACTGGTTGACATATTTTTACTTGTTTACTGCCTAATTGGACTTACTCTTATGTAAAGGCTTCTGCATATTTCAAAATGGGTTGTCTCTCCTTTTTTTTATTAAATATAGTTTCAATATTTTAGTTATCAGTTTTTTCTTTAGATATATATTTTGTCAATGTTTGTTCACAGTCTGTGTTTTGTATACTGCTTTTATGTCATAATGATTTGTAACACTGTTAAATGCATTAAACCTTTTCCTTTATAATGGGTAACAATTTGTGTTTAGTTTCAAGAAATTATTTCTTCCCTTTAATGAAAATATTCTTTTTTATTATCTTCTAAAATATTCAGAATTTTGCTCTTCTTATGTAGAATTCTGATGCACAAGGAATTGGTTTTTATGTGTGGTGTGATATTTTCATATGTGAATATCCTATATTCTAAGCAGGAATTTATTTATTTTGTTTATTTATTTGCAGCATTTTGTTTAAAAGCCTACCTTTTTGTTAATGATCTTATGCCACCTTTGTCATATACCGAGTGACCATCTGTGCATGGAATTGTTTTTAGTGCGTCACCTGTCTTTAGCAGCATCTTGGGCTTTTTCAAGGGTATCTTGGCTTATTCTGAGTCATTTTAACTTCCAAATAAATTTAAACTCAGCTTTTCTTTGCCTCTCTCTAGCAAGGGTTAGAGGTATGCCCTTCCCCTCTACAATTCTTACAACATCACTCAGATGTGGGTCTATCCAAAAATGCAACAACAACAACAACAACAAAATAGAGGTATTCGTGAGCTTCATGCAGCTATTGAGCACTGCATGGATGACTAGTCTGAATTGGCTGTAAGCACAAAATACACACCAGATATTGAATATAGTAGGAAAAGCAAAGAATGTAAAATATCTCATTAAAATCCTTATGTTTATAAAAAAAAAAGCCCTCAGCTTTTCCAGTTTTTCCAATTTATATTTCAAAAATAAATATTTTACAACATAGGTACCATTAGCTATTATTAGTAGCTAAAGCATCACACATAATTGGTCATGGAAAAGCTGGACCCCAACATCAAAACCAAGAACCACCTGTCTGGAGCTTCACTTCTTTGAGCAGCCATTTAGTTCTGATGTGTTTCTGGGCTGCAGCTTTTACATTTCTACCTACTGAACTAACTTGCAGTTAAATATCTCTTCCCTCTTGTGGTAGTCTTGAATTAAGTCTCACTTGCCTGTTTAACTTGTCCAGTCCAATTTTTCTTTGACCAGAAGATACTTAATAAGAATAAAATTATGTCAGAAGCAATAAATTATAAATAAGTTTTGAAAGTATATATTCATTTGCTTTAACTTAAGGAAGTGTATTTCTAAGGAAAATAATTTTGTAGTACTTGCATATAGTTAAAATTTAAATAAATTTAATAATGAATTTCTCTAATTTTAACTTAATGTGTTGCAGAAGGCCTGGTGGAGCTCTATGTGGATGTTATGTCTTCCAACACACCATCAAAGAGCCCTGTATACAACCACAAGCTCGCATTTCTTGTCGACTTCACACACAAGAAACATGCTCCAAAAAAGATGAATGGGTATTAAATTGTTCCTTGATTCTTCGCTTGTAAACATTAAGCTTCTCAATTCCCTAAAGTTGCTGAACAGAGAATTGGTCAGAGCGCCTTAGTAATTTAGAATTTAATGCATATGTATTACCCACATAAAAATGATTTTACTTCTTACCTTGCCCCAAGGCAACCTGATTATAAAATTTTCACTTTCCCACTGTCCTTGAACACTAACATTATTATCCATAACTACTTAGCCTGCTGTCCAAAAGAACAGAATATGAGTAATTTGGTAAGTCTATAAGGCATTATATTACTGGCACATTTATCACATGCGAAGTTAGGCACGACAGCTTTAGTGAGATATAGAGGCATTTCAAGGTTTCTTTAACCTGTAAAGATCATATTTTTTATAAGTTTATGTTCAGCATGAATTCATCCATCTACTATTATAGTATTCATTCCATCAATTTTGTGTAGTTAATATTCAAAATTACTTTCTGGAAGTTATATATATTCTTGTATTCACTTAGACTACTGATAGGCATATACATGGTCATGCATTGAAAAAATCATGTAACTTATACTGAAGGAAGACAAAACCTAGTAATAGACATTAGAATACAATAAAAGCTCCATTAATATCATTTAATTAGTCAGATTTGCTTCTAAACTAGCATTTCCTAACTCATACTCCAAAGTAATGATTGAATTCCTGTCAATTATACATATCTACTAATCACTTCTTTTCCTTTGAATAATATGAAATATTGAAATAATTTCAGAAACAAATACCATTTTCAGATGAAATCTTGTTTTATGATCATTTTGACATATTCATGAGCATTTGGACTTCCATGTAGGATAGATATGAAAATTTAATTAACAAAGCTTTTTTCACTGAAGCTTGTATACCCAGTTTGTAGTTATTTGGGATTATAAAGAGGCTATTATTTTGTGAATGGATCCTGATTTTATGCAGTAAGTTTAACATTGTAATAAAGTTTCCCGAAACTTTTCAGATCAAAAGAAAAGTTTAGGTAAGTAGGAAAAAAGTCTTACTGAACTCCATATATCTTGGTTGTATTATCAAAGTATTTTCTCATTCAATATCCTGCTAAAACAGCCCTACCTATGATGGGCATCTAATATTTCTGCCAATTTATAGTAAACCAAAGTTTGGAGGTTATATTTAGTAATCCTAACTTTACAAATGTACTATTTGGTCAGAGCGTGGAGTTCCTTTGGGTAGATGCCCCATAATGGGATTCCTGGATCAATGGTAGTTCTACTTGTATCTCTTTGAGGTATCTCCTTATTACTTTTTACAGAGGTTGTACTAGTTTGCAGTCCCACCAGCAGTATATTAGTGTTCCTATCTCTCTGCATCCTTGCCAACATTTATTGTTTGGGGACTTTCCCTCTCTCAAACAAAGAAACAAATAAAAAAACAACAAAAAAACCTCCTAGTATTTAAAGTGGTTTTTATGAAAATAGAACTTCAAAACCCAATGTAAGGTAAAAAAAAGAAAAAGAAAAAATATTTTCAGAGAGCAAAATGGAAATGATTTCCTGTTGCCATTAAAATGGTTAAAATTCAAATGTCAATTTTAGCTCATGAAAATATTTAAATAAAATATGTTTTGTAAAAAGTTTTTGACTATGCTGATGGGTCTGTACTGAAAGGCAGAAAAATGTTGCCATCAAAACAATGTGCCTGTAGGTCATTTAACATGAACACACATTATATCTTTATTAGATTTTACTAGTTTTCTTGGATACTAATGCTAGTTTTTTTTGTCATATTATTTCCTTCTCCTTCTTTTTTTTTCTTTTTGCTATTATTGCTTTTAGTACTCAAAGTGCACGCGATGTTAATAAGTTTGGTACGCAAGTATATAAATCTTTATTATTACAACGAAATTTTGTGCACTCAAAGGCAGAACAGTCTGACATAAAAACAACTTCTTTTTGTTAATTTGAAAATATTTGATGGCATTTTTCTTATTCTTTCATAAGATTTCCTACCCACGCTCAAGGACTATTCTAACCCATATCCTTTTTTTTTGTTTGTTTGTTTTTTTTGTTTTTTTTTTTTTTTTTTTTTTGAGACAGAGTCTCGCTTTGTTGTCCAGGCTAGAGTGAGTGCCGTGGCGTCAGCCTAGCTCACAGCAACCTCAAACTCCTGGGCTCGAGTGATCCTTCTGCCTCAGCCTCCCGAGTAGCTGGGACTACAGGCATGCGCCACCATGCCCGGCTAATTTTTTTTTTTTATATATATATCAGTTGGCCAATTAATTTCTTTCTATTTATAGTAGAGACGGGGTCTCGCTCTTGCTCAGGCTGGTTTTGAACTCCTGACCTTGAGCAATCCGCCTGCCTCGGCCTCCCAAGAGGTAGGATTACAGGCGTGAGCCACAGCGCCCGGCCCCATATCCTTTTAAAGCGCCACATTTACTGGCATCTCTGTAGAACAAGTCCGTGTTGCAGCATGGTGTCTCAGGAAAAGGGAATGGTCCTCAGCTTCTAGGTCAGGATAAAATTTCGGCACCCTAGTGCACTCTTCTCATAATTGGAATAACTTAATTAGAAGCGTACTGAGCTCTTTATCTCTGATAATCTATGTAGCATCACTTAATCTCTTCTCTTTTTTAAAATGGAAAACTCTGAAATCAGTCTAGAATGCTTTTGCCTTATTCTGCTTTTAGTACTTTATTTTCCTCATTTTAATTCTTCACATAGGAACTAATGCCGAGATTTTACAACCCTCCGATTTATCTAGGGTGTCTGTCTCTCTATGCATAGATCATCATGATCTTAGTTATCTTTTATGTCATTTAATTATGTGCCAAACATTCTGCTCCAGGCTTTATATGCCTAACTTACCAACAGGTAAGGCTTTTTTTTTTTTTAATCTTTATTTTGCAGATGGCAAGGTGGAGACTGTGAAGGTTGCTAACAAGTGTGCTCAGGGTTATGCGGCTAGTGAGTGAGATGCAGAACTCAAATCAGCTGCCTGTCTGACAAGGGCAAGATTCTGCTGCTGCTGCTGCCGCCCACACCCACCCGGCAGTTTATACTGTGACCTGGCAGGTAGGCAGAGGGGAAGGAAGAGTGACAGCAGGAAAGAGAGACCCTGGGAAAGGGCAGGAGAGAAGAGGCACAGAGGAAAGGTAGCACTGAGGGAGCGTTCCCTGAGACAGAGAGAGCGTGAGACAGTGTGTGTGTTGGGGGGATTCACTAAGCACCAAGTCTCTGTGCACTTTTCCTTTACCCTTTGTTCTTAAACCTCCCGGTGCCCAAGTGCTGCAGTGTTCTTAGAAAACAAATTCCTTGACTTTCTAGAGTCCCTTAATATGCTCGCCAGCGGCTCAGCAACAATAATTATTCAGGGAGAAAATAATACAGACCAAGTTTGTTATTTTTTTTATTTGTTTTTTTCAGAGCATATTAACCTATGTAAAGAACAAAAAAGAAGCAAAAATAACTTTTTCTTTGGCAGTCTGGATAATTGATACCCTTTAAGAGAGGCAGAAACAGGAAGGGTATGGGAAGAGAGCTTCTAACATTCTGCGGTTAATCTAAGATGCATTCTTTTTTTTTTTTTTTTTCGGAATATTTCAAGGGTACAAACGCTTTGGTTACATAAATTGCCTTTGCAGCACCTGAGTCAGAGCTACAAGCATAGCCATCACCCAGACAGTGAGCACCGCACCCGTTAGGTGCGAATTTACCCATTTCCTCCTACTCCCTCAACTGTCCAACACCCGATGACTGTTACTTCCATATGTGTGCATTAGTGTTGATCAATAAGTACCAATTCAACGGTGAATTTGTTTTTACATTCTCGTGGTACTTAGAGGAATGGGCTCCAGCTCCATCCAGGATAATACAAGAGGTAGTTCACCATTATTATTTTTTTTTTATAGCTGAGTAGTACCCCATGGTATACATAGACCACATTTTATTAGTCCACTCATGGATTAATGGGCACTTGGGTTGTTTCCACATCTTTGCAATTGTGAACTGTGCTGTTATAAACATTTGAGTGCGATGTCTTTTTTATAGAATGTCTTTTTTTTTTTTTCCTTTGAGTAAATACCCAGTAGTGGGATTGCTGGATCAAATGCTGGATCTAATTTTTAGTTCTTTGAGATATCATCAAATTACTTTCCACAGGGGCTGTACTAATTTTCAGTCCCACCAACAGTGTAAGAGTGATCCTATCTCTCCACATCCATACCAGTTATTTGTTGTTTGGGACTTTTTGATGAAGGCCATTCTCACTGAAGTTAAGTAATAGCTCATTGGGGGGTTTGATTTGCATTTCCCTGATTATTAGAGATGTTGAACATTTTTCCATACATTTGTTGGCCATCAGTCTGTCTTCTTTGGAAAAGTTTCTGTTCATGTACTTTGCCCAACTTTTAATGGGGCTGTTTGATTTTTTTTTTCTTTTGCTGTTTTTCCTGAGTTTTATATAGATTCTAGTTATCAGGCCCTTATTGGATGTGTGGCATGCGAGTATTTTCTCTGATTCTGTAGGTTGTCTGTTTGCTCTCGTGATAGTTTCCTTGGCTGTACAGAAGCTTTTTAATTTGATACGGTCACATTTATCTATTTTTGTTCTTGTTGTTGTGATTGCCTTTGGTGTCTTCTTCATTGCCCAGGCCAATGTCCATAAGAGTTTTTCCAGCATTTTCTTCTTGAATTTATATGGATTCATGAATTATGTTTTAGTCTGTTATCCATTGTGAGTTGATTTTTGTGAGAGATGAGAGGTGTGGATCCTGCTTTTTAGTCTTCTACATGTGTCTATCCAATTTTCCTAGCACCATTTATTGAATAGGAATTCTTTTCTCCAGTATATTTGTCTGCTTTGTCAAAAATCAGATGGTAATATGAGGATGGTTTTATATCTGGGTTCTCAGTTCTGTTCCATTGGTCTATGTCTCTGTTCTTAACCAAGTTTAAAGATTCAAGAGGAGAAATGCCAAAGAAAGTGGTCTCTTATTTTGAGTTACCTTGTTTCTAATTGTTGTCTGTTGTTCGGGGGAAATGTTTTCCTTGGATAAATTCTGTCTGTACAGTGTCCAAAATGGGATATTTACATTTTTGACAAATATTTTGTAACTCTTCTGGCAACTTATTTTATGCATAATTGATCTGATTAACTGATTTGGTCATTAAATTTACAACAAAATAATTACCCAAGTATGAAACCAGTAACACCAACACACACATGCATACCCCTCTTGCCTCAATTATGAAAGCCATGTTAAGAAAATTATTTACATAACACAAGTAAATTATATAATTTCACTATTTTTAATAGTGTGAATGTAGCGACTGTGAGATGTATAGAACATTATATTTGTGCAAGCATGTCGAGATGTATTAAATCATCTCATTCTCTTAAACATTATATTGCAAACAAGACAGAAAGGAATACTTCCTGATACCCATCTAGCACTGGATGTGCAAAGACCATAAGAAAAGTATAAATAAAATCTTCAGTGGTCCCAAAAGCCAGACATAGAAACCAAAACTTTAATACAAAGCTGTATTAAATATATCGAAATTTACAATGCTCAAATCCAGGTTTCCTGATTTCCAAAATTTTCTGATTAGACCTCAGATTCTTTTGAATATGAGGGAAACAAAATATGAGCTCCACTGCATCCTTCTCACCAGACAACCAAAGCCATGATGCTGTTTCTCCAGCCTTCCACAGCCGCGGCCCTCGAGTCCTGTGCTCAGAGGATCTGGCCAGCAGCCCTGTTGGCATCGCAGCTGATCCTGCGCCCTAAGGCTCTGCGTGGCCCCTAAAACTATTTTTATCCTGCTACAGGGGACCCGTGGACGCTGTGCGACCATTTCAGGTCTTGTGAAAGGAAGACGCTCTGCCCCTCTAGAATGATCCATTGAGATACCCAGTCACCCTTCCAAAATTCTGAGTTGCAAGTAAGCGGCCTACACATTGAAGAGGCCAGTTCATTTTGTCATATGTCCCAGATCTTATTTGAAATTAAAGAATTAGCAAAACCGCTCCCATGTTGTCATCTCCCCAAAACGCCAAAGTAACATTTTAGGGGCTTATAAATATGGCTTATAGATAATGTACTGCTCCTTATAAACCATAAAATTCATTTTTTTCTGATTTGATTATCAATTAAGGAAAAACAAAAAGCTTCTTGCTCTTTTCCCAAGCCATTGTGCTCTCCAAATATGTGGATCATTTTTTTTTTTTATTTTTTGTTAAGAAAACTTGAGCTAGGGAAATATGTCGTCCAGCTTCAATGTTTAAAATAAAATACCGAGAGCCTTCAGAATGAAAATTTACTTGAGTTTTTAATTATCTCTTTTGTTCTTAACCACAATTATGACTGCTTTGTTAAACATGACTTTTTAAAATTAATCTTATATAGTAAATTGAAATTATAAAATATAAATTGCATATAACATTAAGCACATATTAAAATATTTTATGTTGATTTTGAATAAAGTAGATAAACAAAACAAATTCTTACCAGCAGGAATGTATTTCTAAAATTCTGCATTTGTACATGCTCAGAATAATTTTGAATTCATTTTGATTAGAGCAAATGGCTTACTCTTGAAGTTGATAGACATTAAAGATTTCTACTTTAATGGTTTCCTGTGACATCAATGTTACATTACATCGGTGCAAAAATCTGTTTCCTTAGCAACAAGAAGCAAACTGTGCATTTCAAGGAAATCAATAGAAAAAAATGAGATTTGTTTAATGTTAAATACCACAGCTTAATTCCATATTATATCCATATAGAATATAGTGGTGAATTAAAAGGATTTTAAATACCCCATAAATAGATCATAAACTACTACATTGCATCAATAGATAGCCATACAGAATCTTATTTTAGGGGTATAAAATATGATGTGTTTTCATATACACAAAATGTGAAACAGCAGGTATATTATTACTGTAACTCTGACATTATGTATCCTCAAAATAACCGGAGTTATTTTCCCATTCTTTGTACTCTATTTCCACCTTTGTAAATGACATTGATTTAAATTGGGTCTAATGTTCTTACAGCTATGATAGTCTGTGATTTTATGATTTACACCTCTTAAGTCAATTGGAGAAGAGTTGACCAGACTGTATTTCTATAGATGATGGTAGTATATGCCATTTGTAAAACAAAGGAGATCATAATAGTTATATGCCAGTAAGATGGAGAAGCAGAGTAAGCTATCCATTCTGTCTATACGTGGGTGTTTACCAGTGCTTTGTTGGTAATGACCAGGGAGTTGAGAGTTAATAAAGGAAGACAACATGGGCTAGCATATGTACTCCATCTTGGAAAATGTTGACATGCACAGTCTGAGCTAAACATCAGTTCAGATAAATGTTTGAGTGTGCAAAAAGAGTGCCCAGAATTTCGTATTGCTATGGACATATTGAAATTCTGGGCAGTTCCTAATATCTCCCTTCCCCTTACATCATACCCTGAGAGGGAAGAAGAAAAATGGGACCATGTGTTTGCATTTTTCTCATTGATTATGTTCTTTGGTTCCTTTTCCTCTTTGATCTTAATCCTTTGTGCTTTTCCATATTTCCTTATTTCCTCTTAATCCTTTGTGCTTTTCCCATATTTCTATAAAAGATCTAACTGGGGCTGCCTTGTGTTTATTATGGGCCCCTCCGTCCCCTCAGGAGCAGCCAGTCCTTTAGGACTTGGCTTCTTCGATAAGAACAGTCCCTCCCATGCCACCCAACCTACAAATAAGAGGATGACCAAAGAAAAATTAAACTGGCAGTGAACGCAATATAAGCATCATTTTGTGCACCGTGCATACCCTCATCTAAACTAGCTATGGAAACCCTAGCCATCAAGGTTGGAAGTTACAAATACAGTTTGAGAGCAAAGCCCAAAAAGTAGTATGAATTCCCGTTACTTCTCTATAAGGGTGGGTGCCACGCCAAAGAAACAGCAGGAAAGATTCTTAGATTTATAAGGCTGCCATAAGCATCAAATACAATAATACTACTTAGCATAATGCCTAGCACTTTAGATGCATTCAGTTCATGTTAGATATCATTATTT